AATTAGGCTCAGGCAATACGTAAATCATAGTTTAAATCCCCAGTTAGCCAGGCGTGGTAGCCACGCAGGTGGATCTCTGTGAGTTGGAGGCCAGCCTGGTCTACATAAGTGAGTTCCAGGACAGCCAAAGCTACACAGTGAGATCTCGTCTCAAAACAAACAAATCCCCAGACATCCCAACTAAAACTTAGCAGACTGCAAACTTTTAAACAATTGCCGCTGGTAATCTGCTTTTTGTTTGGGACAGGGTCCTTTTATGTAGCCCAGGCTGCCCTGGAACTCACAGTGTAGCCAAAGTTAGCCTGGAAGTCTGGCTTCTCTTGCCTCAGGTTCCAAATGCTAGCTAGCCATGCGACATCAGAGCCATGGGGTGTGATGTGTTCTTTATTTCTGAGGAGTTAATCACTGTCATTAAGCACCGCTGCTAAGTATCTTTTAATATTTTAGGTGATGTTTCCTTGTTTAAAATACAGAAATCTTGAGTCAGGTCTGGTGGGTCACACCTATAATCCCTGCATTCCAGGTGTAAAGCAAGAGGTTAAAAGGTCAAGGCATGGTCTACACAGGGTTCAAGGAAATCTTGGGCAATATAGTCAGACTTTGTCTGAAACAAAGGAAAATATAGAAACTACGGGTGAATATTTCATTTCTTTCCTTACTAGGAAAGAGTTCTGGGATGGAGAGATGGCTCAATGGTTAAGAGCACTGGCTGTTCTTCCAGAGGTCCTGAGTTCAATTCCCAGCAACCACATGGTATTTACAACCATCTGTAATGAGATCTGGCGCCCTCTTCTGGCCTGCAGGTATACATGCAGGCAGAACACTGTATACATAATAAATAATAAATCTTAAAAAAAGAGTTCTTAGGCATAACTAGTTTAAAAAAAAACTATATATCTAGCTGTAATGAAGATTTTCATACATCAAATAGAGCTAAACAAAGTTAAAAGATGGGCAAACTGGGCAAAAATTACCATATATTAACAAAGGGCAAACATTTTATATTAAATATTACTGTTCCTGTTTTTGTATGTGTATGGGTGTTTTGCCTGCATGTATGTCTGTGCACCACATGGGGCTGTCTGACCGAAAGGTTAGCCCCGTTCCTGGCTGGGACTGGTGATTTGGTCAACTGATTTGATCACAGCCCAAACTTCTTTCTTTTCGATTCCCTGGGGTGGATCTTAAACTCATAGGCTCAAAGATTTTCCCAAGTAGCTAGGATTATAGGTGCAAACCACCTTTCCCGGTGGGGAAGCTGGGGGCGGGGGGGGGGGGGGGTGGGGGGGTTGGGGGGGGTATAGACAACGACACACAAGGTTTTGCCCTGCAACACTATGTGGATGAGGCTTGCCTCAAAATCCGCCTGCCTCTGCCTTCCCAGTGCTAAGACTAAAGTCATGCACCACCATGCCCAGCCCACACCTTGAGTGCTGGAATTAAATGTATTCACCACCATTTCTGGCTCCAGCTAAACCAGTTTTAACTGTAAGAAGTCTTCAGGTTTGGAATTGAAAAGTATAGTCGTTTAGGCTGGGCATGTCACTCAGAGATTGAATAATTGCCCAGCATGCACAAGGACCCAGCACCACAAAGACAAGCAGTCTAGTGGTTTAGTTAATATCCTGTACTCTCGTGATCTGAGCCTAAAGGATTGTGTTAGCCCTTGCTGAGCACAGAATTATGTTCCAAATTGTAGGCCTCAACTTGCCAGAAGACAACCATGAGTGAAGCCGTGAAGATTCCTCTTATGTTTAGAGATGCCCATCCAGTTACAGAAGCAGATTTCAACTCAAACTTGAAAATATGGCATGCTTATTGAAAAAAGAGGGTTCCCATAGAGAATGGTGCCTGTAATCCGTTTCCTTTTCAGGAACCCGATAGTATGAAACTCCTGACAGTATAATGGTGGCACAGAAGCCCCATGCTGTCCCACTGAAAAGCACGGATGTGTGCAGCCCCCTGGCCTGAGATCACCGCAGTCTCGCACTGTGCGGTTCAGAAGCTAGAACAGGCCTCTCCAGAAGTTTGTCATTCTGAAACGCTTGTGTAAAGGAAGGCTTTGCCTGGGCGCTGAACAGGTCTCCTCAGGCTGTCACTGTGTGAAGGAGCACGATGCGGCTTTACACTTCCCAGAGTGTTATAACACCCAAGGTCTTTGCTAAATGATGCCCCACGTTCAGATACTGGTTTCTTCTTCCTTTTTTCAATCTTTTTTTTTTTTTTTTTTTTTGGCCCTTTTAATAGAACATCTTTTCTTCTCTCCCCAGCTTTTCATCTTCCTCAGATCATTTCATACAGATATGTAGACCATCTGTCCTTCTGAAAGGCTGTTCCTTCTCTCAGCAAGGAGCAGGGGTGGGAACAATGATGTACTGCGCAAATGATGTACTGCGTGTTTAGAAAGCCAAGAAAAATCCTAGCGTTGGCTGGCTTCTCTTCTCTGGCCCTTCCTCGCCTGCCCTGCGCCCCTCTGGGGATCAGCAGGAGGCTTGTGTGCACTAGAGAACGTGGCTGGCTGCCAAGGGAAAGTGCTAGGCTGGCTGTCCGGCTGCCTTGGAGACAGAAAAGCAGCACAGACCATGAGTGGTATGCCGGGCCACACCGGTCCTTTGCCACAGGACTAACTAGAATGGACCTCGTTAAGTGTCACCTAAGTGGAACTTAAGGGGCCGCAATCTGTGTTTGCTACATCAGTGCAGGCCAGTGATTGCACAGACGTTTCCTGCACTGTGGTAATTCTTTAATAACCCGTGTCTCTCCTTGAGGCCCTTCCTTGACTTGAGGATTGATCACGTGCCCACAGCGCTCCAAGGGCACACGTGCAGGATTTTCAAGACTTAAGATGCAAGATGGGAGCCAAGCATAGCTCACTTGGAGGGCTGAGGTAGCAGAAGCATGAGTTTGAGGCCAATTTGGGGTGCGTCGTGAGACTCTGCATCAAAAAGTAACTGCACAAATGATCTCTGCAGCCATGTAACATCTTGACACTTTAAGCTCTCAAACCTTCACTCAGTAGGTCTTCAGCTTTAAAATGTTGAGCCAGTAGAGTGTTTGTGTCTGTTTGTTAGTAGTTGTATGTGTGTGAAATACCCACACATACAGCCCCGCCGCCGCCGCCGCCGCCATATTTAAGACCTCAGAAACAAACAGGCTGAGGCTGTAGCTCAGTGGTAGAGCACTTGCCTGGTACACATGATGCCCTGCAACGTGAAAAAACTCATTAGTTAGGTAGTTTTTGCCTCTGAAGGGCCAGTAGGTTAAACAGAGAAGTGCTGCCCAAAGACAAATCATAGAGCCAAAGCCCTGAGTTGTGAAGTGGGCCAGACTGTGCAGAAAGGACAAGTATTAGTATTCACGCCTTTTCAGCTCTAATTGCTTAATAATAATGGAACATGTTACTAAAAGCCAAGGCTAGGTCTTCAAATACAGTAAAAATGCTACTTTGGTCTTTGAAATTGCTACTTGAGGATCTCCCCTGGAGCCTGCCCTGGAAACACAGCGGGGGTGGGCTTGCACCTCTGGAGGGTGAAAACAGAAGGCCTTTCATGAGCCTTAAGCAAGCCAGCTACTGTGAGGTTTACAAACAAGAAGCATTCCAACCTCAAGGCTGCCTGGTCAGAGAGGGCTGGAATGCTAAGGTGTGAGATTGCCCATGACATGGGGAATTCCAGAAAGGGGAGTGAATGTCCAGGTCCTTAAAGGTCAGCCTGGAGAAGAGGGGCCACAGCTTTGGCCTAGGATCCACTTCCAAATGAATTCTGAACCACAGACTCTGACTCAGGCCTTTAAGCCCGCTGGAAGCAGAGATCCGCCCGCTTTAAACAGTGCAGAAAGTTGCCTACCTGCAGAATTTTTATCAGTTCCTCCGTTTTGTTTTGGGATGGTAAATTGAGCCATAAATCAAACTTAATCGAATCCCAAAAAACTTTGGGTTTTGTCAGAAATGAATCAGTCCTGTAGAAGTGACAGAATGGCAGATGTAAAATCCCGAGTGCCCAAGTGGGGAAGGAGACTGTCACTCAGTATTGATGATGGTGGTTCCTTTGCAAATAGCTTTGCTTTCATTTAAACATGGCTCTCCGCCCCCCCACCCCCACCCTAGACTGTTCTAGCTCATTCAAAATGATGGGGTGCTGTCCTGAAGGTTGCTGAGACTAAAGGCATGCGCTGCTACCACCCAGTTTTAAATGAAACCTTAATTTTCTGATAACCCTTACATTAGCTAGAGGTTCTTAATGCTTAGCCTTTTCATCTGCATATTTAAATATCTTTAATGATTTTTCAGTGGCTTTGTAGTTAGCATGTCTACTGAAGGCATTTTATGCTGTATTCATCTTTTTTAAATGCATATTTTTGTTAAGCTTTATTGGTAGCCTAATCAGTTACTATTTTCCAGAGAACTTGTAAATATACTATTCTTGTTTGAAGTCCTTAAAGATCTAAGTGCATACAAAAACTTGATTTTGCATATGCATAATTGATAAAATTTGTAATCGTTTTTAAGTCTTCCCTGAGAAACAAGGGCATGAGAAATTTTAGAAAGTGGTTATTACTGTTAATGTATGAAATCCCAGCACTCAAGGAGTAGAGACAAGCAGATCTCTGTGAGTTCAAGGCCAGCCTGGTCTACATACTGAGTTCTAGGCCAGCCAGAGCTACATAATGAAAACCTATCTTAAAAAAAAAAAAAAAAAAAAAAATGTGAATTTTTATAGAATTTTAAAATTGGCCCTATCCTCTCAAGGATGCTCCTGACCTGAGAGGGGTGAGGAGCTTTGGCTATTCTGTGTTTTATTGTTTGTTTTTATTAGTATTGACACATATTAATTGCTCAGTAATGATTTTTTTCGTGATAATTTCATATAAGCATTTCTGGTTTATGTGGGAAAAACTGAGGCCCAAATTCATTTCTTTCATCAAACACAGTTAATCATTCTGCGGTCCATGTCAAAACACCTTCCATTTAACTCCAGAAACACTGTCTGCTTCCCCCCCAGTTTGAACGCCATGACCCGGTGGATGGACGGATCACTGAGAGGCAGTTTGGTGGCATGCTGCTGGCCTACAGCGGAGTACAGTCCAAGAAGCTGACCGCCATGCAGAGGCAGCTGAAGAAGCACTTCAAAGATGGCAAGGTCGGTCGCCTTGGGTGCAGGGAGAAATGAAACCATGGGAACGTCTGGCTGTTGCAGAGACATCAACAAAACAAGAATGTGTCGTGAACCGGTCATTGTAACTCAGGGTTACAGTGAATGCATCTCTCGTACCTGAGGTGCAGAGAGAGAAAAATAGTGAACAGTGGACAAAGAACAGGAGAGTAAGCCCAGATTTCCTGTTCACACAGAGGTAGTACCATGCACTGGGATCAAGAGGTATAAAAGAAGCTAAATTGGATAGGAAGATAGAGTTCTGACGTAGATGTCTTCAGTTTAACTATTTTTGTTGATTGGTTGGTTGGTTTTCGAGACAGGGTTTCTCTGTGTAGCCTTGGCTGTCCTGGAATTTGCTCTGTAGACCAGACTGGCCTCGAACTCACAGAGATCCTCCTGCCTCTGCCTCCAGAGTGCTGAGATTAAAGGCATGCGCCATCATCACCTGGCTATGATGTCTGAATTTGAGAAGGCAACTCAGTATCCAGGTCTGCCTCAGAGCTTTGAGCCAGGTCTGGTGATCACAGACACTGTCAGACTTACAACCATGAGAGCTGGAGAGATTTTATGAGGAGGGTCTTACACAGAAGGAAAGAGGTGGACCAAGGACAGAATCCAGGGAAACGTGACTTTGAGAAGTCGGGTTAAGGACTCGCTCAGTCTGAAATTTTGAAAAAGTCACTATGACACCATGACCAAAAGCAGCTTGGAGAGAAAAGGGTCTAGTGAGCTTGCAGGTTATAATTCATCATCAGAGAAAACCAACGAGAAACTTACAGGCAGGAGCTGATGCAGAGACCATGGAGGGATGCTGCTTACTGGCTACTCTCCATGGCTTGCTCAGTCTGCTTCCTTATACAACCCAGGACCACCAGCCCAGCGATGGCACCACCCACAGTGGCCCTCTCCTATCATTTTTTTTTTTTTTTTTGATCTTTTGAGACAGAGTTTCTCTGTGTAGCTTTAGAGCCTGTTCTGGAACTCATTTTGTACATCAGGCTGGCCTCGAACTCATGAAGATCCGCCTGCCTCTGCCTCCCGAGTGCTAGGATTAAAGACGTGTGCCACCACCGCCTGGCTCTCCTGTCAATTTTTAATCAAGAAAATGCCCCCACAGACTTCCCTACAGCCAATCCAATGAGGTGGTTTTCTCAGGAGAGGTTCCATCTTCTCAGGTGACTCTAGCTTATGCCAAGTTGGCAGAAAATCAACACACAAGGCCACAAACTTTGAGTCCAAAATCAGCAGTAAAGACAAACCTAGAACATATGAGGAGCTTGATCAGGAGTTTGTGTGTCTGGAGCATCCCAGACCAAGGACAGATGAGGTCAGAGAGGCACAGAAGCCTAGGCATTACTCAGAACAATGAGAGGGTGCTAAAGGCTTGAGGCAGAAATGACATGGTTGGTTATATACATAGAGACAGTCGTGGCCCCATTGTGGAAGAGAACATGGGAACGAGCAAGAGTAGAATCAAAAAGACTGATTGATAGTAAGGTTGTTAGAGAATTTAGGAAGAGATGAGGAGTCTGAGCAGCATTGGAATCAGAGACCTTGGGTTCACGGGAGCTCTCCTCAGTCCTGCTCCGGGTCTTCTTTTGTACGGGCTGCCCCTGGTGCAGGAAAGGACAGGTCACAAAGTGCAGACAGACCTGGGGGAGGAAGGGACTGAGCGAGAGACTGGACCACTAACTACTCAGGCACACACACACATAAGAGTAGAGTAGACAACAGAGGTTCTCACTGCAAGCCCCAGACCTTTCCGCCTGGACAGCAGTGGTCACTCATGTGGCCGTGATCAGAACACCAGCCCGGCGCTGAATGTGTTGCGTGAGGGATTGCCCAAGTGGTGTGGTGTGCTCAAGACAAGGCCTCAGCTGCTTCCCTAGTGGTTTCCATGGTCGCTGTAGGTAAAGTCCCTATCCTCATTGGCCTTGGGAATTAACCTTTTCCTGTCTGCTTGCCATAGGACCATTCTAGCTTTAAGAGCCAGGAACTAGAGAAGAAGTAAGAGAGCCAGCATTTGTCCCAGTTTTCTTATTGTTATGTCAGAAATCTTTCATGAACACCACTGCTTTCTAACCGCTTCTCAGCTGGACATTTTTCCTCCTTGCCTCGGATGTTGAAAAGCCAAAAGGATCTGAGCCAGCCTAGCTTCTTCTGAACTCGGTCCAGCCTGTTTCCACAGCAGGTGTTCTCTTAGCTGAGGGGTAGACCTGTCATCAGCTGATAGTGAGAGAATAGTTCCTCCCCTGGAGAGCGCTTCTGCACCATCTAGCACCCAGCTCGTGTCTGTGAAAATTATATTATATTGATTGCGGGTGCCCAGGTGGATGTTTAGCCCTTTGCTGGACATATGATATTTGTATAAAGCAAGCACTGTTTTCTGTAGACAGACTTTTCATCTTTGTTTGGTGAGAGCTTTTACATGTTTGTTGTTTGTTAGATGTTAGGGGTGCTGAGGATCTAGCCTGGGGCTTCCTGTATGCTAGGAGATCTGTCACGCTGAGCCATGTACCCAGCCCAGGCAGAACTATTTTTAAAGGTAGCTACAGACATTGGTTTGACCTTAAGTTAGCTATCAATCATGATAGTCTAATTCATATTTTATCCTGAATTTCTATTTGAAAGTAGCGAATTAAGTGTTGGAGACATCTCCCTTGAAGGCATATAGTGTTTTAGCTTGTCCAGGAGTTAATTTAAGACCAAAGACCTTGCAAAAAAGAGCTGATGTAAAAGGACAAACTGTGACATTGGAAATCTGGGTGCAAACTTACTTTTGGCCTGAATTTCTAGCCTGCTTTAGCTTGGAGATTAAAATTGATTGCCCTCTTGTGTTGATTAAATAGTTGTGAACATAGCAATTAGCCAAAATGAGAGTTAATAAAGGGCCTTTGCTCCTAATATTACCAGTCCATCCCTCCAGAACCATTTCCCATTAAGAAGAACTCTCCATCTGTTTCTAAGTGCTTCCTTTATTCCATTTTGGATTTGTTAACATGAAAATGTAAGGGCTAGAGAGAGGCTCAGCACCCACATGGTGGCTCCCAGCCATCCACAACTCCAACTCCAGGGGACCTGACGCCCTCTTCTGGTCTCCACAGGCACTACACACACACATGGTGCACATACATATACACCAACACTCATGCCCATAAAATAAAAATAAATAAATCTTAAAGAAGATAAAATGGCAAGAACTTCTTCAAGCCAGTTAAGTCAGAAGTTGAGTGGTAGGTCCAAGCACGTGTTTCCTAAACTCCCTGGTTTCTTTTACCCCAGCCTTTATCCCATTTTCTCCCCATCAAGATCCTACCCAAAGAAGAAAGAATCCCTTGTAGAGTTTAATAAGTTCATTTCTACTAGTTGTATAGTGATGAGCTTAATAGTTTACAAATGACTACCCACCAGTTACTGCTTTCTCTTTTTAATATTAATACAGTATTAATTCGTCTTCTCTCTGTCAAACTCTGAGCCAACCACTTTCCAAGACTTCTTGGGAAGGTCCAGGAAAAGGAACATAAGGAACAGATGAGACCCGGGAGAAAGAACTGTTGAGGGGTTGAAGTGGAGACAGCTTGTTCACATGTGAAGAGGATGAGAATGGTTGCCACTGGGCAAGAGAGCCCGATAGTGTCTGAGAAGGCAAAGCCAGGGAATTGTGTTAGGCTGTTCTTCAGAGAGGGTTCCTGGAGTCACCAGATGCCCCAGATGGTCCCGGTCCCAGAGCTACCACCCCGTGATACCCCAGCCCCAGTGAGCTTGGCTGTGTTATGAATGTCCCTTGGAAGAATGCAGGTTTGGAAGCTGCAGCCTGGTATAGATGAGATGAGGACGTGGGCCTGCCAGGCGGCTGAGGCTCTCGTCTGTCACTGTTTCTGGTCAGTTCAACACCACTGCAAATGATACAGTAGCTGCAAGGTACTCCTGACCGAGTAGAGATGAACCTGAGACAGACCTGCATTTTCACGGTGTTCTGAGGCAGGAGAGCTGGTCCCAGTGGAGAGAAGACAGCAACAGCCAGGTGTGGTACTGACCACTTTCAATGTGCTAGACATTTACCACTTTTGTGCTTGATTATCACAGTCTTAGTTGGTAGACAGAACCATTGTTCAGATTTAAAAAAAAAAAAAAAGTATTCTTAAGAGCCTTAGCGATTGACCAGAAGTCATGCATTGTCTTAAGAGGCAGCACCAATATCTAAAGCCAAGAAGATTCCACAACTTTTCTACTCATGACCTGTTTATTGTCATCATTTTTAGGTTTTGACAAGGAATTAACTATGTAGCCTGTACTGGCCTTGACTTCTCAATCCTCCTGCCTCAGCCTCCAAGTGCTGGGCTTTCGGGCATGTACCACCACTCACAGCTTATTGTCATTGTTTATTCCCTGTGATCTGAATAAGCACAGGGTTTGGAAGACACAACAACCCAGTCACCAGGTTCCAGCCTAAAGTTCTTAGGGAAATAGAAAGGGAGCAGATGGTAGAGGACCATAAGTCTGTAGCTGAGAAGCTTGGGAGCCTGTCCTCTTGACAACTGGAAATCACTGACATTTTGTGAGCAGGGAAAGATGGAGAGATGAAGAAAGTGATGTTTCAAAAAAATTAGATACTTGTGGAAAGTAACAGAAATATGTGATTTCCCCTGCTGCAGGCTGCAGTTAAAGACAAGTCTAGAGCTTATGAAAGGAGGGTTCTGTATGAAGCAGGAGACTGAGGCGAGACTAGATGACAGGATGGATGACAGCCATGTTATAAGGGAGAAAACGATTCTTCTCAGTGAGCCACAGGAGAAACTGGAGCAGTCGGACTCACTCCCTGCAGATGGATTCGCTCTGTCTGATTTAAGTCAGGGCAAAGGATTTGTCTGTGAGGGTGGTTATGCTCATCCCTGGCCATCGGTGCTGGATGTCTGGTTCTACAGCAGACTCAGGAGGAAGCCAGGTTCTCCTTCCCATAGTTCTTATCTACTCCAGCTGCATTT